CGCTGCTCTTTATATTCTCAATTTCACTCTCCACTTCAATGTATGCCGAGCATTCGGACAGCAGTAATATATTAAATTGTCTGTTTTACTTCATAACTGCAAACGAAACGACGACTGTTGCTGCCACTGCTGCCTTTGCTGCAACAGCTGCTAATAAGCTTACTGCCGCTATGGCAGCTTAGCTGCTGCGGCTGCACTCTAGTTATGTGCGTGTACAGCAATGAAGTGTATTCCCGACGGTCACCGGATTTCTCACATATCATACAGGCAGATGCATCATATATGCAGATGCATCTTTCGTTGCAAACGCCGCCGCCATAGTCTCTACAGTCCCTCCCGCCCGCGGCGCTTCTACCCATAGAACTGCAGCTCTAGGATGCTTTTATGTTCTCTGCTACATCAAGCGGGGCTATTAGCTAAAGTAACTGTGTGGCATGTTCAGCCCTAGGTGCAGCAACAAGTATCTGTTGTGCGGCTGGTGCCGGCACTGCTACTTCTACAGCAGCAACTGCTGTTGCTATTCTTCCTGCTGCTCTTGCAGCATACGATGCACCAAAACCAGGACCAATATAAAAGGCTGTCTTACCTATAGCACCTGCGTTTGTGACTGTAAAGGCTGCTGCTGCTGCAGCTGCTGCAGTTGCTGGAGTTTCTGTTGCTGCAACTGCTGCTGTTGCAGCTGTTGGAGATGATGCTGCAGCAAAGCTCCCTGCACCTGTTGTTTCTCACTGACATGGGCTAACTGCATATGTAGGAGTTGCTGTTGCTGTTGCTGCATGCGCTGGTGCTGAGTTTGTTGCAGTTGCTGTTCTTGAGCCCGTAGCAGCAAGTCTTGTTGCATTGCCACCTGTTGCTGCAGTTGCTCCACCATTGCCCGTTGCTGTTGCAACTGCAGTTGCTGCTGCTTGATTAACTCCTGCGGAGTCAGCAAAGAGCTGGCGTCTCCCAGTTGCTGCCGCAGGGGTGGCTGCAGCGTCTGCTGCAGAGGCTGAGGCAGCGGCTGTTGTAGTGGGTGCTGCAGCGGCTGCTGCAGTGGCTGCTGCAGCGGCTGCTGCAGTGGCTGCTGCAGCGGTTGCTGCAATGGCTGCTGCAGCGGCTGCTGCAGTGGTTGCTGCAGCGGCTGCTGCAGCGGTTGTAGTACCTGTTGTTGGGTCGTTTGCTGCAGGTGCTGTTGCAACGGCTGCTGCAGCAGCAGCAGTGCCGGATCCCCGCTAGGGTGTAGAAGCACCCGCGTGCCTAGATCTTGACCTGTGATGACTGTAGAGGCATCTACTACGGGAGTGTGAGTGAGAGAAGAGCCAGGAACTGCTGCAGCAATAGGGTGAACAGCAGCAGCAGACTCCGCCTCAGAAGCCGCTGCCGCAAGGGGAGAAGCCGCACCAGATACAGTAAGCGTTTCAGGACTGACTGCGATCGGCAGACTGCTTCCTGAGCCTGTCATCGTTAGGCTGATCTCTTGCTGTTGCTGTTGCTGCTGTTGCTGCTGTTGCTGTTGCTGCTGCTGCTGCTGCTGTTGCTCATGTTCCCACTGATGATCATCGTGCATCGGCCTTTTAGCCGCTGCTACATCGACGTGCTGGATGTCTGCATCGACGCTAGAAATATCGCTGTCTAACCACTGCATTTTGTGTGAATGCCCGCTTCTAGTGCTGCTGCTGCCACCGATGCTGCTGCTGCTGCTGCTGCTGCTGCTGCTGCTACTGCTGCTGGTGCTAAGAAGAAGCTGGTGTATCTCATCATCTTCATCTTCTTCATCGCTATCTTCGTCTTCATCGCTGTCTGCTTCCTCATATTCTACTCTCTTCCCGCTGGAACCAAAGCCTGTTTGTGATTCTATCACCACCCGTTCCTCCATTGCGTCTATCATTTCGTCTTTTGTTTCTATAAGTGATTCTTCTGCTGTTTCTTTATGATGG